AAGAAATGGCAAAATTCCCAAAGGTGGTATATATAAATGCCTTAAGTATGAAAACTTAGCTAACAGGAGCACATAAGATGTTTTATGTGGAAGTAACATGGTAATATTTTAGAGATCATTTTGGCAGTATTGTGGTACATTTGAGGGGATGGGACAAAATACTGGTGACAAAGAATCCAAATAGGAAGTTGGTGCACTAGCCTAGACCAGAGGTCTGCAAACTATGGCCCACTGGTGACATCCTGCCTGCACGCAACTTGTGGTCTGTTTTTGCATAGCCTGCAAGTAAAGAATGACTCTTACATTTTGAAAGAGTGGTTAAAAAAAAAAAGGAAAGAGAAAGAGAACTATATGTGGCTTATAAAGCCTAAAATATTTACTACTTGGTCCTCTGCAGAAAAAATTTGCAAATCCCAGCTTAGAGAATTGAGGAAGCTACAAGCTGAGTCTGTTATATGAAAATAAAGCATTAAAAAATTTGGAAGCAGAATCAACAAGACATCATGACTAATCAGATGTATGTGGTTAACAGTAGGAAGAAGTGAAGATTGATGCGAAGGCTTCTATTTAAACTCAAAGTAGATAGAGATACCATTATTCAAGAGAAGGAAACAGCAAGGAGAGTCTCTTTTTAAAAATTAAATCACTTTTTTCATTGATAATGAAAAATAAGAATAAATGACAAGCCAAAATTAAATTAGATAACAGGCTTACAGTATTATGCCATCAGGAAGACAAACTTGCTCAAAGACGGAAGTTTGAATTTGACCTCAGAACACATATTTTGCAACTAAGGGGAAATGTGTTCCTTTATATTAGATTTCTAAAATGAAGAGTCTGATATTTATTTTTACTGTAGCAAAGTGTGTACAATTGTAAAAAGTGTTCACATTTAAGTCTAACATAACAATGGCCTGTTTTTGCATATTTGCATATCCGCTTTCCCAAGAAGCTTCCAAATACAACTGCCCCTTGAACAATGTGGGTTTGAACTGGGTGGGTCCACTCACATGCTGACTTTTAAAAATAAATATATAGTCAGCCCTCCATACCTCCAGGTTTCTCATCATCAGACTTAACCAGCCGCAGATGAAAATAGTATTTTCGATAGGCGGTTGGAACTTTACGGATGCCAAGGGTTGACTGAACACACTTTTTTACACAATTTTGTATAAGGGACCTAAGCATCCCTAAATTTTGGTATCTGCAGTGGTTTCTGGAACCAATCCCCTACAGAAACTGAAGAAAAACTGTAATTAAGTTTTGGGGGACTCAAGCTATACTCAGATTTTCAACTGTGCGGGGTGTCAGTTCCCTTAACCCCTGAATTGTTCAAGGGTCAACTGTAGTTTATTGAAAAGTAATTGTCCACACTGAAAAGCTACTTGCTGCTACATCCTATTGAATTGTTTTAAATGTTCTACTTTTAAATACAGGTTAAAATGTACTAGTAGCATGGTAAGAATTTTAATCCTAAAAATCTGAATCCTAAAATTTCAAAACTTTAACAAAAGTTTAAGAGACATGAGGTACAGGTGCAGTAAACACAGACCTGGAATAGTACTTACAGAGGGTTTTCTAAAAAGCAAAAAGTGCTTCCATTGCCAACACTGTTTGTGTAACTGCTACTCAAGGAAAGATTCAAGTGTCCTTTTCGTGACACAAAAACCCAAAGACCCAAAGAGAAAAGTTAGAGAAGGGAAAATTGGACCTGTTTCTAGAGTAACATATTAAAACTGCAACTTGAAATTCTCAAGAAATTGCTATATGAAATTTATGAGTGTTCAGATGATTTTATAAATAAGATCACGTTTCTTTATTTTCTTAAAAGAGTTCTGAAAGAATCAATATGTGAAGGTAGGTAGAAAGTTCTGGAAACACCTAAAAAACCCAGGAGGTCAATTCAAGGTAATATAAGCATGTAAAGAGAGATACTGCTCGTGAGTTCCAAAGCTCCAGCCCTAGATATGAGAAATTTTGATTTCCCAGATAGAAAACTAGCAACACAGTTGCTATTCTTATACCAATTATGGCTTCTATTTATCAAATACGTACCATGGGTTGGGCACTCTACTGAATGCCACACAAATATCATCATAGTTAATACTCACAATAAACCTACAACTTGGTACAGATCCACAATCCCATATCTGAAACCCCTGGGCAAGATGCATTTCTGAATTCAGAACTGTTCAGATGCAGGAAATACATAGCACACTCAAACTGGGATATGAGAGACTATGTATAAAGGAGAGGAAAGGGTTAAGGGCAACTACATGAGATAGTGAGACACTAAGTCTGAAGAAGCGGAGGCAGGGAGCAGCTACCAGGAACCAGACACAGAGAGGGCTGATGCACAAAAATGACTTAATCTTCACAGAGGGATGCAGCCGGCCCACAGTGACCCTCAGGAGAGGGGCTGAGAGAATACACACCGACCTCCCTCTCTTTCTTGCCCCCAATCTCCAGTATCCCCCACAGGCCAACTGAGACCGGTGAGGAAAGAAGCCCGATGATATCGTCCACACAGGGCAGTCTTTCAGGTACAGAGCAGGGTGGAGAAGAGGAGAGAGTAGATTTGGAGAGACCAAGGCAGTCATCCAGCACATAGTGGGATTGGTCAGCATAGGCTAACTTCTGTCACCAGCAACCCCAAAACATCACTGGCTAATACGACAAAAGTTAATTTCTCACTCATGCCATCCAGCAGTTCTACCATCTTTTGATAAGCCCCAACTGAGGCCTCTGTTTCTGGTAGGCATTGACAGAAAAGAGCAGGAATAGAAGACTGGTGCGCAGTTAGACACCAGGTCTGGAAGTGACACACCTCACTGAAACCACAGCTCTCAGCCACATGGCCCCACCTAACTGTAAGAATGCTAGAAGTGGTATGGTGAGGTGCCCAGACAGCACAGGAGAAACTCAAATGTAAGTACTAGCCTTATTCTGTATCATGTAACACACCAGTGGAATTTGAGACACATCCCAAAATCAACCTCACCAATATTTCTGCAGTGCAACATTAATATCCACCCTAAGTGGAACAAATATATCAATAGATGACAATAATGAAGATAATGAAAAGTCTCACACCAATGTAGGTTAGGTGTTTCCGTCAAATAAGTTTTGGTGCCAAACTTTTTTTGACAAAACTTTATGTTTTCAGAAAATTTTGGATTTCAGAATCGTAGGTAAGGGATTAGGAATGTACATTATGATCCACATTATACAAATGAAGAAATCGTCTCAAAACAGAAGACAGAAGGTAGAGATGGGACTTAAAACTCGGGCCTGCACGTGTATGCTTATGCAGGGAAAACTGCAAACAACCAAAAGTCTCTTATTATTTTAGACATCATGAATGATATCGGCTCTCAGACATGAAGAAACAAAGAGGTTTCAATGAATTCCAATGTTTATTGTGTACTATTTTGTATAAGCACTCACTGTGCTAGCAGGTAGGGGGACTGGAAAGAATAAGAGAGAGTGCCTGACCACAAGAAAGACAGAAGATGATGGAAGATTTAGGATACATCTATAGTGAAAAGTGGACTGGTAAGTGCTCTAGAATTATGAAGTCCTAAAATGACTGACCTGAAGAATAGAGGAAGGGAAGGCTCACACCAAAGGTGCTGCCATCAGTTAGACCTTGAAGCAAGTACAGAATTGTGAATGAGTGAGAAGTACTGTGGGCGAGGGAGGCTGCACAAAGATCCAGAGGTGGGAGCTATTTCAAGGTCTGAATAACGGCAAGGGATTTTTGTTCGTTTGGGAGCATTTGAGTGCCAGAGAGTTCAAGATTTTAAATTGTATTTAATTATTATCAAGCAGTCCGGGCAGCTTGAAATCAATAAGAAAAAGATCATAAGAAAGTCAAGGTTGCAGAGCCATTTGGCTAGATAATGATGCAATTAACTGAGAAAGAGATTATGAGAAGACTATACCTTGGAAGAAAAATAGAAATGGGAAAATGTTGAATTTTAAATTTGAAATAAGTTGAGATTGAGGTGTTTGAAGCATCAATAGTCACCTGCACATTATCTTAGTACTGATTTACAATATCTACTCTGGATGCTAAGAGGCTTTTTATGTTTACTTCTTTGGTCTGATCACACTATTCTCCAGTGGCGTGAGGTTCTATAATATACATATGTGCCAAATAAGTAAGATTTAGCAAGCACTGGAACTATTCTTTCAGGAGAACTTCATAGCAGAGTAAAACAAGTGAGGAACGTGTACTGACTTGCACTTCGGCCATTTATGTAGCAACTTCCTTGCATATGTCAACACCACTTTTCACTGCCCTGAAATTGTTAAGAGTGCTGGCCAATATGATGAAAACATTAGAACAAAACAACCCAACCTTCCTGTATGCTCCTTATCAGGAAAAGGAGTGATCAAACGATAAAATTCCTTTAAAGAGTTTACTTAAAGTGCTTCAATGTTGGCGGTTTAATATATTTAAAAAAAACACACAAAAACAACACTTCGTAAACTCAGTATGAAAGTATCACTTTCATATGCAATCCTTTTCTTATTTAGTTTTAATTAATAAACTTTAACCTTTTTAATAGGTCACTTTAGTTATTTACTAGCAATTAAATTCCTGAAACGCTATACTCCTGAATCCTTTTTAATACTTCAAAATAACATTGGCAGAAACTACCCTATAAACATACACAAGATGCTTCAGAAAAAACAAAACAGATATCTGTCTCTAATACACTTACTTGATTTTAACTCGTGATAATCACAGCAGGTAAAATAGTATATTCCTCTAGTTAGAGTCTATCCTATGAAGAAATTCACTAATGTTTACATGGATAAGAGAAATAACACAGTAGCGTTCACTGGGCTCTTTAAATATGCGAGTAGATTTTAGAGACTTTTACTTGAATTCTTTGATCTCTGCCAAAGTCTATCTGTGTACATCGGTTGTCTGGAAAACACTCAACAGGATATTTCCAAAGAGCAAATGGCAGGTCAAGTTTAGAACATGTGACTTCCTCACTAATTACATTTAAATTGCACACAGTAAGAAATCAGATGTCCCCCTAGGACACTGGAGAAAGCCTGAGCTCTTAATCTTCAAAGAAAAAACACCAAAAGGTAATGTTAAATTGAAATTTTCTCAATTACATATTAGAACCAAATGTAACTTGTAATATATATTAGACTTCTAAAATTAAAGTTTGAGCTTTAATTTTTTTATAAAAGGAATAGCTAACCATGCTCAGCATGGGTTAGTTGCATTATTTCAAATGTGCCAACCCATTAGATTTGAATATAGGATAAAAGAAAATTAGGCTTAATTAAAAAATGGCTTACTATTAAACTTTTAACTGTTACTATTAAACTTACTATTAAAGATAGTATATGTCTATACTATGTATCCAGAGTCCACATCTAAAAAACACTGGACTAAGCAAGACTCACTCTCAAGTTCTAGCTCTGGCCATTTTCAGATATGCATCCTCAGGCAAGTTATGCTCTTTCTGTGAGCCCATTTGTAAAATGAAGAGGTTGATTTTGATCACTTCTAAATTTCCTTCTAACTTAAAAATTATGACATTTGTTAAACCAAAGGCTGGTGTTTCCCCAGTGCTGGGGAAAAAGGTTCCTTCATTTTTCTCCCCCTTAAAAAAAGCTAGCTCTCAGATTTGTTTGTGATACAAGCATTAGATTAAATTTCTGTAATTATTTTGAAACAGAAAAATGATGTTCAAGCTATCACTCATCAGCCTGTTCCTCCTATTTGTTGATAACACTTCGGGGACAAGTCCACCACCGCTGACCTCAAGTTCTATGGCAGTCTCGGATGCCAAGACGAGCTTGAGTTCTCAGACAAACCCACATTCCAAGACAACCTGGAATCCTAAGACAACTAAGAAAACAGCAGTGACCTCAAAGATAGCAGTGACCGCAAAGATAGCAGTGACCTCAAAGATAATGACCTCAAAGAATACAGCGACTCTGAATATAATGGCTGAGACAAGTGGTGGCACCACTCTGAATCCAATGGACAACATTCACTTTCTTTTCTATGTAATATTTTTGCTGTTTTGTGTGCAATCAGGCTGAAGTGGACTTGAACTGTTTACATTCCTATCTCAGTTCTTTATCATCTGCTGAATGACAACAAGCACACTAGGAAAATCAAATTTATTTCAACTTATTTCCCAGGAAGGTATCATTAGTCTAGCTTAATTTGGTTGTTTGCAAATTTTAATTGTGTAAGCCTAATTATTACCTTAATATGGTTTCCTTCCTTATAGATGCTAAAAAAAAAAGCAAAATACCAATGTGTGCAAAACTGAATTGAAAATCAGATTTTTACATTAAAGTTGTAAGAGAAGAAATTGTGTTGGTCATGTTTAACCAAAGTATGCTTGTGTGTATGTGTGTGGGGGCGGGGCAGGGAAGGAGAAATGACATGTGTTGTTTTTGTATTATTATTATTTTTTATTAAATAGACAAAAAAAGTGCTAATCTGATAAGTAGAAACTATTATAGAATGCTCTATGAAACAATACACCTATCTGTGACACCATATTTCATGAATGTGTAATAGCAATGTTACAGTAAAAAGGTACCTATTCTGCTGACCTTTGAAATGCATAATACAGCTGATTTAATGAGATTATCTTGCTTTTTAAAAAATATTTATTTATTTTTTTCAGTTACAGTTGACATTCAAAATTATTTTGTATTAGTTTCAAGTTTACAGCATAATGGTTAGACATTTATATTTATATTATTTATGCAGAGATCCTCCCAATTAGTCTATCGGGAGGTACCCACCTGGCACCATACAGAGTTGTCAACATTATTGACTATATTCTCTATGCTGTACTTTACATCCCCATGACTACTTTGTTAACCACCAATGTGTACTTCTTAATCCCTCCACCTTTTCACCCAGCTCCCCAACCCCCCTCCCCTCTAGCAACCATCAGTTTGTTCTCTGTATCTATGACTCTGTTTCTGTTTTGTTTGTTCATTCATTTTGTTCTCTAGATTCCAACTATAAGTGAGGTCATATAGCATATCTTTCTCAGTCTGACTTATTTCACTTAGCATAATACCCTTTGGTCCACGCATGCTGTCACAAATGGTAAGATTTCATTCGTTTCATGACCAAGTAATATTCCATTGTATGTATGTACCACGTCTTCTTTATCCAAGATTATCTTGGCTTTGAGTAAACCTTTACCTTGTATTTCAAATGGTCATTTGTAAATCAGATGCCTAGAATTCAGAACTCTTCCCTACAGAAATTTATCTCATAACTACTGGTGAGATTTTCATGCTGGTCCATAAAGGTCCATTTAATCCAAAAACCTAGTACAGAAATTTAACAGTGATAATAACCATGTTATCAATAGTACACTTGTTAAGGATGGAAACCCAACTCTGATTCTTTACTAGTTGTGCTACCATGAGTTAACTACATGACCCAGTGTGATCCTCAAACAAACTGACTACAAATGAATCACTGGAGGTGCCTGTTAAATCTATAGATTAATCTCTAGCCCTTGGAAGTTAATTTGGCAGCTCAGGCAGGAGCGGGGATGTTTGTTTGTTTGAATTCTCCAGGTCATTCTGGTAGCTAGGTTTGGAAACGACTAACAACTTCCCTAAGTTTCAGTTTATATACATGTCAATCACCGTTACTAATAATACCTCAGCAGGTTATTGTGAGGGTTAAATGAAATATCATATAATACGCACAGTTTGTATGATGCAGAGACTGCACTCAGTAAATGTTAGTTATGATTATTACTATTAACACCAAAAAAGCAGTTACCAGCTATCACAATATTCCTAAGGGGAAAACTCTTCATTGTAACTTGTAGGTTTTATATTTTTAATTCTTCTTACAAAAATAATATATGGTCTTGGCAATAAGTCAAATGGTACAGAGATATATAATAGAAATATTATAATTGTTTCTTTGCCTCCTTCAATCCTACTCCAGTGAGATAAGCAATATGAACAGTTTCCTGTATATACTTTCACACATTTCTCAGCTATACTTATTATATGCATGTGCACACATACAAACACCCAAATTACTCTGCACCTTGTATGAGAAGTTTCAGAATCATCCTCCTGGGGCTTTTGAAAGCTGCATTAGAGGACTTCTGTTACCTTTGCCTGCTCAGAATCCACTTTTCCTCATTCTGCCCCCATAGCCCCCCTTTCAGTTCATGCAATTCAAGTAGGGCTGGCTTCACCACTGAGCTCCAGTGATGGGCACATAATTCAGGCCTAGACAGCCATAAAATTCCACCCCCCTTGCCACAGTGATTGCCTCAGGAATTGGCACGTGGCTTAAGCCAGGCCAATAAGCCCAATACGTTTGCTGTAACTACTAAGAAAGAGATGCTTTTCCACTGGGGTTGTTAGGCTGGGAGAACACAGACCATTGCGGCCCATGGCTTAGGAAGAGTTGCTTAGGAATAAAATCAACACAAAGAAAGTAAGAGTCACAACGCAGCGAGAAGAGATGTTCTCCAGATGACACTGTTCAAGGCTCTGCGTGGAGTCACGCAAGAAGCTAGTCCATCTCCTGATTTTCTTAGGTACATGTGCCAACTGATACTCCTTTTGGTTCATACAAGTTTGAATTTTGTTTTGGTCACTTATAGCAAGCAAAACGTACTTTAACCTATTGCCTATTACTCCATAATATACACGTGTGCTCATTGATTCAACAACTGTCCTTTTCAAACATAGTTTCTCATTTTTTTGCCACTATAAACAATGCTGCAATAATTGTCCTTGCGTTTATGGTGCTTTAACAACCACCAGGCAGGAGCATAAGTGCATAGGAGGGAAGAGCAGGAAAAGATTAAAAACTAAGTTAGGTGAAAATTACGGAGCCCCTTGCAGGCCTGATTATGGAACCTGAACTTCATATCAGGGAGTCAATGGTGCTATTTAACACACTGAGAGAGACAAGATTTGTACTGGAAACCACCTCCAGAAGCAATGGTAAGACGACCTGGAAGTGTTTGTCTGGGGAGTGGGGAGGAGGGGAATGCTGCGTTAGTACAGGTAAGAGCTAATAGGAGTCTCAGTGATGGCAGTGGGGAAAAAAATGGTTTCAAAAGACATTTGCAAGGTACCTAAAAGTAATATTAAACCATTGAGATCCAATTAAAAGAACTTAAAACACATACCTAAGGACAGCCCCTGAGGAAGGAACAGCACTGGTGTCACTTTGAATCACAAGACTGCTAGAGTAGGAACACGTTCATGACCTAGAGGCAGCCAGAAACCTACCAGCTAGCCAGCACCTGACGATACAGGTTCTGCCCAACAGGTGTTTCTTAGCTGAACCACATGCTCTCGCTGTGCGATACTGAAGTCATGAAGGAGATACTAGCTGGGGCTACACAGAAAGAGGAAAGTCAGGAGGTAGAGCTGAACATGAAGCTAAGAGAGAGCCCAAGAGCGCAAGCCAGTTCCAGAACTGACAGCCATCTAGTTCTGTCTATACCTGGGCAGGATCTGCTTTAATTCGTGTTTTTCTGAGGCCTATCTTCTTGAGAAAATAAGAAGGACTTCTTTGCGATAAGAAAGGCCTAACTAAAACAACCTCCCAAAATCAAATCTTGGTAACATAATGAGGAGGATAAATGAAAGAGGGAAGAATTTTGAATGATTAGGATGTTTATAGAGAGGGAAGGATGGCAGTGCCACTGAGAAAGAAAACACGGTGTGAAGAAGTTGATTTGAGTATACACTGAATTAAGTGTGGACTATCTGTAAAGAGATTGGAATTGACAGCTCAAAAAGACATTAACTAATAGTTGGGAGTCTAAGATACAGAAACTAGAATATCAAAAGAGAGGTCCAACCGACGTGCTCTTTCACAGAGTTAGCTGTCGAGAGACAAGGCTCTCCCTGTCCTCTCCTGGGCGTGTACAGTGGAGGAACTGGGCCTGTCTCTGCTCTGAGCTGCTGTGTGCTCACCTGTCCTGGAGCTAAGGCTTCACGCCAGGTGAAAACGAAGACCAGGAAGAGCTCTACTAGGTCTAAGTAAGAAACTGACAGAATTAACAATCTGAAATTGGCAGAGTTATATTGAAAACCAAAAAACCAAAAAAAGAAAACCTCAAACCTACTCTGTACACAATTTTGCAGGTCACAAAATACTTCATGGGAGAGGTAGAATGCATAGTTTCTATAAGCAACCCCCCACACCTTTTTTTTTTATATGAAGAAACAGATTCAGAAAAATTAAGTTGTTTAAGATTACGCAGTTAATGAGCAGTAGAGCGGGGAATCCGCAGCACTCTCAAGTCACCGTATTATATAGGTTTCCTGGAAGTCCCACTGATTTAATCTGACATGGGTGTCTGCATCAGGCCTATCCTACCTTCCTTTGGCTTTTTGAGATCACCGCAGAGAAGGAATACCATCTTACAGTTTCTGATCCTAAAGAAAAAACTCTGCTTTGAGATTTTTCCGGAAATCTTTGCTAGTTGTCAACTAAGAAGAATTGAAAGGGGAAGGGGGGCACACACCTATCTATCTCTCTCACCAATGTTTCCCTTTTAATTCCTTAGACAAAATAGGGAAAGTCAAATACACTGGTTGTATTAAAGGTTAGAGTTGGAATATAAATACAGTTCATCTCAACTGCAAAAAAAAATGATCTTAGGCAATTCAGAAACAGCAACTGAGGTAAAAGTTGGAAAGAAGACTTTCCTGGGAAGGTGAAGAGATAGATGTTCCTCAGGGTTTTGAAGGAGGATGACTAAGGATAAACTCAAGTTTCTATACTCTCTCGACACCTAACGCCTCAGTTCTTGGGAGGTCTTGGTCTTAGTGCTCTCTGAATTACCTGCTTAAACATGTTTCCAGCCTTCTACCTTCCTTTCTTCACTCCTTTCCCCCTATTTGTCAACCTCTCTTTGTTTATTACACAACTGTCAAGTTTTTGCTACCCATGGCTGTTCAGTCTACTGACATAATTCCTCAATTTATATTAAATTCAGGAACTCAGAAAAATTAATTTCTATAGCTAGTGAATAAGAACTAAGACTAAAGAGTCCTTGAGATTCCAAAGCCAGTGGTCCATTATATCACATCGTCTCTAAGGTTCAATAACCATGAGTTACGTCACACTTAAATGGGAAGAAGTAAAACTGACCAAATAATGTCACAGGTGAGTTCTCGAAAGGAAGGCAGAATGAGACAACAAAGAAAAAACGATGGCAGGGAAAGCAACGCAAACATCATACCTATAGTTAAGGAGGACCTCACAGCATTTCCAGAAAGGCTTTCTGGGAATCAACCTGAACTGAAGGCGGCACAAACAAACACAGTCAAATTTCTAGGCTGTCACCTACGCCATCTTTATAGACATTTCCCACAGCTTCTATGAACTATTTGTTAAGTCACCCTCATGCTGTCTTACACAGCATATTACTACAAGTTCTCAGAAACAGACTCTTAAAGTTTCATTTCTATTTAATAAAAAAGTTCTTGATTATCATGTTGTGGATATTATTTAATCAGAATCAACCTGAAGACAAAGATTTTTTTGTGACTTTTTACTCTTGCTAATTAATCCATTGTAGGTAGTATTAAAAAAAATTGATGTGGCAAGAAGGAGTCAATATGAAATAGGTGGTATGAAAAGCAATCTGTAATGTATGAGCATCATTGTGAGAGACAGGAGGGCTTTTACCCCGCTATATTCTCCCAAGTAAACTTGTTTGCAATTCCAGTAAAGTCAAATCGGAAAAACCAAATCTGTTGTCTCTTTACATCTGCTATCATTTTTAAAACTGTTAAGAGAAACTAAAACATAGTATTTCTTACCTCCGTGCAACATAATAAAATATAGGATTCCCAGCTTTGGAAGTTCCAGCTTGGTAGAAAATACTTAACGTTTTCAAAGCCTTGAACTCTTCTTTTTCGTGTACTTGATGCCTGAAAGAAAACAAAACAGAGTTATTAACTCATAGGCTTTATGCTGTCCATTGAGTATTTGCAAAAATCTACAAATGGACCAATGATAAAATATGCAAACTGATAAAATATTTAAAAAGCAACAAACATGCTTTCTGAAGGGCAATTTGGCAACATGTACCAAAAATTTCAAGGTATTACTCTTTGAACCACAAAGAGTGGTTCTTAGGACTATCCTAAGAAAACTAATGGGCAGGCATATTAACCATAGAATTGTTTTTAATCGTGGTATTTTTTTTCTAGACAGGAGTTTTTAAGTTTTTATATATTGAATTTTAAAGAGTTAACTTTATCCATCTTTTGTTTTCTGGCTTATTGATTTTGAATGAATGAGAAAGGCCTTCCTTTGCCCATATTTTCTTCTTCATAGGAGTTTATTTTCACGAACGGTATGAGCACCTTTTTCCAGATGGTTACTCAGTTGCACTAGCACCACTTATTAAGAGTCCATTCTACAGCTTCCTACTTGCCCTCTTTCGGGGAGTACACAACTGCAGATCAACAATCATTATCTGCCTTCTGTAGAAAAGAAAAAAAGTAAAAAATTTAAAAAGTAAAAAGTTTAACTGCTAAAAAAAGGTCCATTCTAATCTCTCTGATTCTGCATACTACTTTTATCATATATTAAATTCCCATGTGATTTAAATCTATTTCTGAAAAAGCATGATTTAATTTTTATATATTCTGCTCAATACTCAGTGTGTGTCTTTAACCTAAAGATTTATGTCATTCACCAACCCTGGAAAACTCTCATCTGCTGTCTCTTCAAATATTTCCTCTTCACTATCCTCTCTAAGCTCTATATAGCTGGAATGCCATCAGACACGTTGGACCTTCTCTGTCTATCATCTGTATCTGTTAACCTCTTCATATTTTCTATTTCTTTATCTCTCTGTGCTCACTGTATGCTAGTTAATTTGCTCATCAGAAATTATCTTCTAGCTATGGATTTTAAAAATGTTATTTTTAAAATATATTTTCTTTTACCTAGTAATTCTATGTGTCTTGTGTCTGGGGGCACAGGGAAGAGGAGAAGTTGTATTATCTCATTCCATCATGTTGCTGGTACCAGGCCATCATTTGCTTAACATTAATGGAAACAACCTAGACATAATTTGATAAGAGAAATAGGTACACATGTATATAGATAAATGACTAGGAGGCGATATGCCAAACGTTAACCAAAATATCTTTAAGAGATGAAATAACTGGAACTATTTTACTTTCTTCTTTAGAAAGCTATGTTTTGAAAAATTTAACAATTTTTATTTTTATAGTTCAGAAAATTATAAAACTTTTCATTTTTTTAAAAGAAAAATGGGTCTCAAAGAGCATTAATGGGAACTTAGAAGAGAACAAATACCTAACAATTATTAAACATTCTATCTATATACCAGATACTGTTCTAAGTATCTTACACATATTAGTCTTCAAAAGCACAGAAGATTGTTTTTTAAAGGAAGGTAGGGTCTTAGGTAAAAGAATTAATACAAAGGATTTCCTAGAAAAATGGAAAAATGGCTAGGACATCCTCAGTAATGTTGAATAAAAAATAATTTTATATTTTTTGTACTATGTAATTTTCAATTAGTTAACCTGAAAATTTTATATGGAAAAATATTCCTTCAATTACATAGGAATAAACATTTATTACACTGAGAAAAATATAATGGAGCTAAAGATAAAAATTAAGCTGGAAAGGAAATTGTTGTGTATTCATACCTCTCAAAATAATATCAAAGAATTTGAGTCATGTGTACAAAACTATCACCTACAGTAGTCCCCCCTTATCTGTGGGGAATACATTCCACGACCCCCAGTGGGTGGCTGGAACCACAAATAGTACCAAACCCTGTATATACTATGCTTTTTCCTATACATACATGCCTATGATAAAGTTTAATTTATAATCAGGCACAATAAGAGATTAACAACAATTACTACTGATAGAACAACTGTAATGATATACTGTAATAAAGGTTATGTGAATGGCTTTGTGTTCATTATTAAGTAAAATAAGTGTTTCTTGAACACAAGCACTGCAATACACCAACAGTCAATCTGATAACCGAGAAGGCTATTAAGTGACTAACCAGCAGGGAGTGCACACAGCGCGAATACGCTGGACAAAGGGATGATTCACGTCCTGGGCAGGACGTTGTGAGATTTCATCATGCCACTCAGAATGGTGCGCAATTTAAAATTTATGAATTGTTTATTTCTGGAATTTTTCATTTACTATTTTTAGACTACGTTTTGACCACAGGTAACTAAAACTGTGGAAAGTGAAACTGCAAATAAGGGCAACTACTGTGTATGTAATATGTTTAATAACAGGCACCTACAATGCAAGTCACTTTACATACAAATCTGTAATGTAAATTAACTTCTGAATGTCAGATTCTTCTTTTTTCTCTCTGCCCCTGGCACACCCTATGAACAAAACACTTAATCCACAGTCACTACGAAGCACATACTAAGTGACTAAGTGTAAAGTGCTATGAAAGTTACTTTAAAGACTAAAGGATTCAGCATGACTTCACTGTAACATCATAAAGACGAACATTTAACAACAAGGATCTTTTAGTTCAGAAACTAAATCCCTCTAAATGAGATTCAAAACAAATGTCCAAAGAAATACATTTTATAGCAATGGTGAAGTATACTGTATTCTCTGAGCCTCAATCTAAATAACATTAACTTTTATAGGAGGGTTCTGAAAAACAATAGCGTGGCATCAAGAATTCAGCACTTAGAACCAAAGGACCTATGAATTAGAGGTGGACTCTTGGGCAAATCAGTTATTCACTTTGAGCTATATTTAACTATAATACGAAGATAATGTTATCCACCCTCCTTTATAAGTATTAATGCAAAAGTACCTCAAATCAACACGATAAAGTACTAGTCAATAAGGTACACTTATTTTTTATAAGAAAATCAACTCTAAAACAAAGCATATTTCAATAAAGTATAGGGTAAGAGAAAAGTTAAATTCCACAATATGCCAATGTGGTTGTTAGGTACATCTTTCCTGATGATCCTCTATCAAAAATACAAGCATATCTAACATGCGACCTGTAGTGAGCCTTGCGCCTCAACCAGAAGAAAGCAGTCAAGGTGGTACTTTACCTGGTCATGAATTCCTCGAACTTGGAGCTGGTAAGGTTAAGGCTGGACCAGTGTGTATCTGCCACAGGTTTGTGCTCTGGGGGACCCAGGTATGCGAGAAGGGTCGCCATCTTATCAAAAGGTCGTCTTCCAACAGCTTTGTGATCCCTAGACATAGCAAACAACTTAGAAAAGAAGTAGCAGTTCACATTTAGCCATACACGTTTCTTTAGGTTGTCACTTGCTGCTTTTGTTTGTGCTGCCAGCTGGGGGTTCCTACTGATTTGTGAATGGCACCAAAAAGATCTCAGGTGTTATAAGTATACACTGAGACATTTTAGAAATATAACCACTCCCAAAACGATAAAATTTACAAACAATTTTTTTTCTAGTATTCTGAATCCATTACCATTAAACAGGCAATCAGTAAGTGAAAATAACCTTCTGATCCCCTTTTTCTCAGGATGAAAAGAATCTATTTGAGAAACCATTATTTAGGAACTGGACATATTGTCCCTGATACTGTATTTCAGAACACAGCAACCATACATCTAGGTAACACACAAGGACACAAATATGAAGACTATTTACGACATCATAATTTAAAATAGTGAAAAGCAGGAAACAAACCTAAGTATCCATCAATTAGGAAATGCAAAAACAAATTGTGGGGCCGGCCGAGTGGCACGTTGGTTAAGAGCTGGCTTGGGACGCCAGACGGCCCCAGTTCGGATCCCACATATGAGGGCCAGTGACACTGCCCTCCACAGCTAAGATGCTGAACAACAGCTCAACCTGGGGCTGGGCTGCCGTGGGACGGCGTAGGCTGCAGCCCCTGCTGCAGTGGGCTGCCATAAGCTACAGTGAGTGGCTGACAGCCAGCGTGAGCAGCCAACAGCCGCCGTGAGCGGCTGTCCAGAAGCTGGCGACTGATCTGCCTCACCCAGGAAGAGCGCAATGATGGTGCCAACTTGGGTCAGTGAAGCAACGTCCTCCACAACTAGACTGAAGAACAAAAGAACAGCAACTTGTCTGTTCCCCTTTCCCTGATTCCCCAGCGCTGTTTTCCATCCCCAATTTCCCAATTAAAAAAAAAAAAAATCTTTAAAAAAAACCAAAAAAACAAATTGTGATAGTCATTCAATGAAATACTAACATAAGTTAAATAAAGGATACTTCTCAAATATTGTGTAGAGACTATATTCAATATATTATTTCTGTAAAATTTTAAAACACACAAAACTATGTTATATATACCTGTGTTTTATATATACCTATAATTTCTTGTTTTGTCAGTTACATAGAGAGAAGTAATATCTTTTTTCCCCCATGAAATAAAATGTTACAAAGATCTGAATATGGCAAAATAAATAATGTTAAAGCTAGGTGGTAGACATGACTCTCATATTATGTTCTATATACTTTTTTGTATGTTTGAAATGTGTGTATTTTTTTTAAAAAACCAAATTAAAAAAAAACTCTCTAGCATCAAACTACATGAATATGTGAATATGTATGTGAACTATATAAGAAAAGTGAATGTTTGCATTTCAAAGTTCCATAGTTTATTTTAGTGTCACACAGATAAAGCATCTTCATCTTTCTATTTTAGGGAACACCTCAGTCACGCTCACATCTATTTCAATCCATTAATAATTCATAAAAGATTAAAATGCTCTCTCTCTTGAACTCCCATATAATTAGTTATTAGTTAGCCTTAGTTTCATGGTCTTCCGCCTTTCCCATGAATGTGCAAACCATTTTTGTTGGCACTTAAAAATAATCTGGACTCACTTTACCTTTGTAAGAGAGCTCCCATATATAGGAATTCGGGCCCTTTACAAACATACATAACTAGAAAGGGCAGCAAGTGATTCAGGCTACAAAAGACTAACTAAAAACAGGCAATGAAACAATTCTCAAATAAATAATTTTCAACTATTGAGTATTTTCTATACAGAACTTTATTTGCATGGACTTAAGAGTATCACAAATGGGATTGTTATAGAATTAAAACATTGGGCAATGTTTTATTTATTAAATTCCTCAGAATTAGCTGCTCTTCAGACTCAGGGGTCAATACTCATTTGACCTTTCAGTAAATTTAAACTTCTCTATGTCTGTTGCACATTATGTTTGATAGTTTGCAAACCAAAAAAAGTGAAAGGGCTAATTTGTGACTTCTTAGCTTAACATGAAAAAAAAAGTCTGTAGCACCTAGGTAGACTTCTTGATCATTTAATATGACTTAACCTTTTGCCTATATATTTTTTAAAAGTCTACATTTCTTTTTCCCAACCATAATTCTTATTCTAAGAAGATGCAAAGTAAAAAACATTACTCATGACCAATAATTTCGTTAATATAAATTCAAACTGAGAGTTTTCAATATGCCCATGACTGGGAAATCCTACCTGTTGCTGGAAAGATACTGGCCAATTTTCTCTTGATTGTTCCAGAGCAAACGATGTAAAGCAAGCACATTGCCATCACTGATGAAGGAAAGACTATGATTTACTGCATCACTTGTAGGACAATCAGACGCAATATCAAGGAAAAACCTTAAAAAACGGAAAATCATTAGAATTCTAAAAACCAGATACACTCATATCTATGTTTGAATTAAATATATGTCAAATAACTTTGTGAAATAAATAAGATTACAAATATGCAGGGCTTGTTCACACATGTGATGGTCATTAAATGAAACAAGAAGAGACAAGGAGAAAGTTGGTTTTCCCTCTTTGATACCTCGCTTCAGCTTCAGAGTAGGCTCTGAGGTCAGACAACAACCAAATTTAGATGGATGAGGCTTTGGAGAGAAGCTTATATTTTGCAGATAAGGAAATGGAGGCCCAGACAAGACAAAAGACCTCCCCAAAGTTATATCACTGGTTAGGTCAGGGCCAGGATCAGAACCTTTGTTCCCTTAACTCTCTATAATGTCAATCGGCTAGAATATGAATCCTATGCCGACATTCACTTTCTCTCCAATGTGGCTTGCAGTCCAACAATACACGTTTTAAACTCCAATTAGAAAGAAATTGATATAAATTATAATAAAAAATGGGAACAGAGAATTGTACAATCTAGCTTAGACTATGAGTCAGATTATATTCACACTGCATGAAAAGCAGAAATCTAAACATTAACTTATATGTATAAAGTACTTTCTCATTAATTATCTCATTTGTTTCTCTAAATCAATTCAGACAGAAAAATATTGTATAATTCCTAGTTTACAGATAAATCAACAACTCAGAGACAAAAAGCAACTAATTAGTTATGGAAACCCAACAGATTTCTAGTTTTCTAAAATCAAAAAAGTTCAACAGTTGTCCAGTTACTCATGAACAAAATCTTATGCATCTGCATTACTTGGTTTAAAGAGTAACATTGTAGTTGATATAATTCCAAGCTGAAGGATCAAAAATACTCTATCAAAAAAATTGTGATTATACACTGTTATGCATTATCTGTACCATTTTGGTTTTAGTTTTTACTAAAGTAATCTTTTCCTGTTTCCTCTCATCCACATTGTAGCAACTTCTATTTTATTTAGCAATATGCCATATCCTTCCTGGTTTGCACATATGGAAATCACTACCAAATTATAAATATGGGTTTACTTCATCACTATCTCTTACAGTAAAATAAGATTAACTATGGTCTTGACCTAGGAAATGAAAAACTTACACAGGAACTTCCTGTACACCAAGCATGTGGACTTAAGCGAAACTGAAAATATTTGACTCAAACAAAGCAATCTACTAAGTGGCAGCTGCTTACCTTCGTGCTGCATCAAAGTTGCTTTTCACAAAATCATTAAAAGGCCGCATATGCTCTTCTTTTGTGAAGAGAACATGATTGGCAATACTCTGAAGTATCTAAACAATAAAACAGGTTATAAAGAACCAGATTATTTATTGTATGAAGTCTACACATTTGTATGTTCTTTAAAAAACATGAATTTTCTCATCAATGTATCTACTGGTAGTTAAAATCCATTGCTCCTCATTCTACAAATATTAGGTGTTGTTTCTATTCTTTCCCAAATATAAATGTAATATATTTACATATATTTATATATATAAAAATACATATTAAAAGATTTTAATGTCTTTTTAACAAAAAAACATACAATATGCATTTTGGTCTTCATTTCAGAATTTCTAGAAAACTATCTTCAGAAGACATTTGCGAAAATGTTTTCTCATGATAATAAGACCCATCAGTTATCAGTCTAATGAATTCCTTTGTAATACAAACAAATAAAAATAAAAGCACATAAGTGAAAACTATAGGGCATTTCAAAAATAAATGAAGTACAATGACTATGTAAAACAGAAAATTTAATTAAAAGAGAATTTAAAGGTTAGATTATCAAAATAATTCTTCACCTTTGACATTAACTTCAAGCCCCTTTCGATTCTAGGTGGTGGCTTTTTATCTAAAATCCCTGCTTCATATGGTGAGACAATGGCAGGATTGATAAATCTGAGGAACATGGCACTTCCCACTGCACCGATGCTGTTCTGAGGGAAACGCTGACTAACCACCTAGAAACAAGGAGTTAAGAACTGAATATATGATTTGAATTAAAACAAGGACATGGGAAGAAAGAGCCTGAAGGTCAAACTTCACGCAAAAACTGAATAGACCAAGCCTCATGAACAACACATTTCTATTTTTTCCTACTCCCAAAACATCAGTAAATGAAGTTCCTGCCCACCATCATTTTAAAGCACTATAAAAATATCTAAGAAAAAAGAAAAATCTCACAGATGAGTTGTGTAGAGGAGACCTGAAAAAAGATCTTAATTTTATCCTTATTGTTTACACTGCAGGTTTGATGAGTAACAAAAACAGACCAAATTTTCAAACAAAGATTATCATGTTTCACTAAGATGAACAGACATCAGAGTATGGTCAACGCAGAAGACGAAGCTAAGTTTGCAACAGCACACTCCTTAAACATCTAATACCTAATAGCAAATACTTACATTTTGTTGTGTACCAGGTACAATTGAATTTCTTGAGCAAAATGTTTGCCATATACAAAACAAAACTTAGTTTTCTTAGATTCCTATTGAGAGAAAAAACTTAAACTTATAAGTAATGTTACTGCCAGTTCTTTTTTCTTCATCAGAAAGCTTTATAAGGACCTACCTATCATTTAAACCATGAAGAACTGGAATTCTTGGGACCTGAAAGAAAAAAGGATCCTACCAGTAGAAGAGTGAACTCCTATGTGTACCTCAATTTATAATTCTGTCAAATTATATAAAAGTTAAGGATTTAAGAAATGGTTGCCCACACTGAAAAACAATGTGAGCTCAATATTTAAAAATGGATTTATTTTCTCTTTTTCTCTTTATAAAATATTCTATTTTGAAGGTCAAGTGATAGATTAGATGGGGGGAGTGTTATGAAACTGGCTCAGCTCTCATCTCTTCCTCCTGTTTTAAGTTAACATATGTAAATGATACTCTTCTGAAATTTACATTTTTTACAGATAATACAGGCACACTTATTTTTAAAGAACATTTACATAACATTTTAATCTCTACAGTTTCTTGCTTAGTGTGGCTAACTGCTTAAAGCAGTGGTAACTGTAATGGCAAAACCACAGCGCTCCACTCAACGTTCTGGGATTCCAGGAATAAACCTGCATTTCAAAGGATATTGGAGAAAATGGGATTTATGTGCAGAATCTCACATAACTCTAGTTTCCTTCACAATGTCTCGATAAAGTAAAACATCTTGTCATGAATCCCCATGGATGGCTCACTGAAGCCAAATTAACTCTGGAAAGAATAAGGATGATTTCATTTCATTCTATTTTTTCATGTGGTACACATTTTAAATGTGTGTGTTCATATTCACTGCCTAAAATCTCAAAATACTTTTCTATCATATCTAATAGGGAATTAGTAAAAGTAACACTTTAGAGAATGATTGCTTTTTAAGCCAAAGAAAATCTTTGTGAGTGGCGTTAACAGAGGTGAATTATAACTGATATATTGTCACCTTCATTTAGGCTAGCTACATCGTTCAGGAAGCTTCCTTTGTGTCATAGGACTTAAGAGTGCCACTCTGCCTGAAGAACAACCTAACACTTAAGGGGAAACTGGTGAAAACAGCTAAATATAGCAGCCTGAGTGGAATGGCTTTAAATCCTAAATACTGTTTTAGAGTTATTTTTAGTGGAAATACAGTTTTAGAAATAGAAAGAAGAAGAAAATCCAAGTGCTTTTACTACTCTAGTACAGTGTTTAACCTTTGGGGGAGTAAGGACAGAAAAATGAACATATACATACACACAGATAAAATTCTTCATACAGTTTTAGAATGTTCTTAGACCATTACTGCTACTGAATTTAGAAACCCCAAATTTTAATCTCAAAACAGAAGAAACTTATCAACAAACCTACAAAATTTTAAAGGCTTTAAGAAATGAACAAGGAGGAAGAGGATTAAAAATGGTTTTATATTTAACTTCAAATAGGTTGTTAAAAAAATTAGCATATATTCACTTTAATCCATTAAAATACTGAAATGTTTTTTTTTAAAGCTAAAAGCCACAGTTTGGTTACCAAAGAACCAGTTAATTTATAAAATACTAACTTGCTGCAAAAGTGTCTTATAAACATCAATAACATATGCACATAGAAAGCTGTTTTAAAATACATTTTGAAAGTAGCTATTTACTGGTTTTCTCTAGGACAAAAACGTTTTAAAGTATGATTCACATTTATACCTGATTTATACTTAGTACTACTCAGTCTCAGAATTTAATGAAAATCTGAGTGAATTATTTCCCAAAGGGAGAATACTGTGAAACTTGTGAAAAGCACTACTACACCTTCGCCATCTTCCACATCTGCAAAAATAATTTATGTCAAAACTAAAAGTATCCACATCTAATTATGTATTTCACTGATGATAGTATCACTGTATTGTAGAATTAAACATGGTAAAATGTAATCAATATTAATAAATACTTTTTCTTTCACCACTAATTTACACCACTGTATTTTTACCTCATACTATACACATACTCAAGTGCTTTTTTCTTTTAATCTGTAAAAATATAATTTAGATCAAAAAGACATTCTATACAAAGGTCAAAGTTGGGCCAGTCTATATGCTGAAATCAGTTACCCAGTCAAATGTCCCCTTCAATCCCCTTAGTAAACATGTTACAATTAAATGTAGTCATAAACTGTCCATCAGCAAAAGGATCACTACCATACATTCTTAATTACCTGAGTTAAGCAGACAATTAGCTTCTCAAAGAAGATCTAACTATACATTATATACTTGAGCATAATAAACAGAAGCATCTATATACTACACAGCTATGTACCAGAAGCCAGAACCTTCTCTATATATTTTACATATTCCAATCCATGATACATATACCCCAAAAGAAAGTTATCTTGCTTTTAAAAGAAAAGATGATTAGATTCTGGTAAGCCAACAACTCCATAAACCAACATTTAAAATTTATAATGACTATACTGTCTTCATACTTCAGAACGTGTTCTAAAATATCTCAAATTACCAATTAGATTCCCTTTGTTTCCATGAGGACCTCATATCACCTGTGCTGAGAAATACATTCCAAAACTCAGTGTTACCCAGAAACTTAAAAAAAAAAACAAAAAACCCTGAAAATAACACTAGTAGAAAAAACATTTCAAGGAACAATTTTAGACAAAATCTTAATAAATAAAGCAATGTTAGGAAGGCTAGAAAACATGCTCTAGAGAAACACAGAAAGCCTGAATTTTAATTTATGTGATATACTACACAATGGCATTAGTAAAACACTGAACAAGAGTGTTAGAGACAGTAAATTAATTTCAACAGTGATGGTGTATATTATGTTAAATCCACGTATGCTGAGAATTAGAAGGCTGAAGCATTAGAAAGAAATGTTTTTATTAAGCAAGATGGGCATCCAATCCAATTCATTTGCTCACAGCTGATCAAATTTATTTAACAAACTCAAAAAGTAAACCTTGAATGGACATAAAATCATATGTCTCTAAATTTTAATTCAGTTCTGAATTTAAAACAAATATATTCTATATAAAGCTTTGATAAGGAATCAAAGATGAAACCTGATGTATATTATATTCTAAATTATACCTTTTTAAGTCAACTACCTACATGACTCCTAAAGGTTTTTACATCTTTCTCTAAAGTTATTTAGATTACATGAAAAAGATAATACTCAGCCTAATAATAATAAATCATACTGACAAATGACAAATTTAAAATGAAGGCATGTTATATTTTGGATAAATTCCACTCATGGGAAGAAAATGTTGACTACCATAATTTTCTTCCTTTTAAATTAGGACAGGTTCATAGAAGTAGGAAATATATCCATATCATGTTTGCAAAATGAGGTGTTTCCCCACAAATATGAACTCACTGAATTTTCCTTTATTTTAAAAGTAGTATGTTCTCAGTCCCAATAGTTTAATAATGATTTTTTTTCTAAGGTAAAAGTGGTTTTACCATTAGGATTTTTATAATCTAAGCACAGATATCTAAATTCTGGTTGGGATGGTCTAGATAAAAATAGAGTAAAAAAATACAATTTAGCAACTTTTAGGTAAATTTTGAAAGTAACACTCTCCCTCCATATACTTCTAAGAATTAAGAAAAACCTTCATCTCTAGAAAAAAGAAACCACTCACATTACCTGCAAACAAGAAGCAAGAATGAAGAGAATCAGCATTTCCTAAGGCCTTGAAATTAAGTTTCTTTTGCATTCATTTATAATTTTAAAAATAACAATAATAAAATTAGACTAGGGATATCCAATGCAACAAACGCCCCCAAAACGCCTTTGGGATAAATCCAACCAAAGGAACACAGAGAATGTTTCAATGTAACTTAATTCCAGGGTTAATTGAAATGAAAGCTATTTTGTGCCAGAATTAGTAGAATGATTTTACAGTGAAGGTCAAATAGGCTGAAGTGAAGATGTTCTTAACAAACAGCAAAAGATTTTTGTTTTGCTTTGAAAGAAACAGCTAGTAAAAAGTTCTCCAAACTTACTGATTTTTTGTTTTCCTTTTTTTCTTTTACTGTAGCTTTATTCAGTAGGGAGTGGCAAGTTGCCTACAGAACAGAGATGAGCACAAACAAGTCACAGCACCAACTACATACAGCAACAAAAACAATGTTGGCTTGTACATAAAATTACACGATCAAATGTAACACAAATGGAATCAACAAAAAATTAGAAATCAACTGAATTTTGAGGGATGAATTTTATTTCTGGATTTCAATTTTTAATACATTTTTAAGCCAAAGCACTAAATAAACAGCAAGAAATGTTGAGACAATCATATCTACTATTTCTGGCTATAAATCACAGAAAAGCTCTCCCCAAGTGAATTTGAGGATATTTAATATTTACATTTCAGTTAATTCCTACCTTTTGATAAATTTTACATAAGATGTTGATTATAAGTAGATCACACTATAAAACACTTATGTGTCTACATGATTTTTTCTTGATATATAAATATTTCTCTGTGTATCCTTCAATTGACTTAAAGTTCTTTTTTCCAATAGCTTGCATTTAATTTAGATTCTACTGATTTAAAAATAAACATTAAATGACTAAATATAATAGAAAAGTCACCTTAGATTCTAAATTAAAAATCTCTAAGAAAGATTACTCATAAAATTTCACATATTTTTTCTGTTTACAGGCCACTTCCTGAAAAAGTACTAATCAGAAGAGGTTAAAAGCTCTGCAACATTTGGGAGAAGAATGTTATCAGCTCAACTAGAAATAAGCATTAATATTAAAGTGAAGAAACTGCAGAGAAAATTATAGAATAAAATTGTAAGCCTGCTTAAAATTTTTCACATATTTGACCACTTATATCAGAATGTCTAAAAAAAACCTACCCCCAACCCCCCCCAAAAAAACCCCCACAAAAACAACCCCACAGAGATATATTGGTTTCATCTACCAGAGATCCTTCTAGGCCAAGGAGTTCTTTTAAAATTAAGACTCCTGATTGAACTAGACTAGGCACAACAATTATTTCAAAAATATTTTAAAAACCAAATTCGAATTCTTTAATCCACCATACAGGGCATTTTATTCTAAAAATTCTGTGTATGCAACACCATAACCTATGACAACTTGGGTTTAAAGTTAGTTTGACATTTGTTCATCCATCCATCCATCCAAGTAGTTATGGTGCATCTACATTCTAGGGAGACAACAGTAAAACATGAAGACACAGTCCTTTGCTTACAGAGCTTTGGTTCAAACTTTAAAATTATATATATATAAAAGCACTAGTAACCAAATATTGGGTTGTCGGAAAAGTCATGACGTATTTTGTCTATGTTTTTCAAAGGTCATTTACTTATATAAAGAACAAAGATCAATCAATGATATATTGCCCGTTTTATTCGATAACATTTTGCCATTTTTCAGCGAACTTCATAATTCCTCATTCATAGAAGGACCTGTCTTTATCTGTGCAAAACTGAACAAGGTGCTGATTTACAGCCTCATCCGAATTGAACATTATACCACGCAAGGAGTTTTGAAGAGAGCAAAACAAGTAGAAGTCTGATGGTGCAAGTTCAGGTGAGTATGGTGGGTGTGGCAACACATCCCATCCAAGCTCCAATAATTTTTAATGGGTGATCATACTTGTGTGTGGTCTCGCATTGTCCCGATGGAACACAATTCCTTTACAATTAACAAGCTCTGGACGTTTCTGGGTGATGGATTCATCCAAACTGTCCAATTGCAGACAGTGCACATTCAAATTGATTGATTGTTTCCTTGGAGGAGCTTGAAAAACACGACACCTTTAAAATTCCACCACACTGAGCGCATAACCTTCCTCTGATGAATGTCTGCTTTTGATGTTGTTTGAGGCGAATCATCACATGGGGACCAAGACTGTTTATGCACCACATTATTGTAAACAATCCACTTCTCATCACCAATTATCAGTCGCTTCAAAAAAGGATCGTTTTCCTCACATTTAATGAGCATATTGCAGATGTTTGTATGCGCTGTCAAATGAACTTCTTCGAGTTCATGTGGAACCCAAACACCGAGCTTGCTTTCGTATCCCAGCTTCTTCAGGTGGTCGTGAATGCTTGAATGATGGATGTTCAATGTGTCTGCAATCTCTCGTGTCATGTAACGTGGGTTTGACTCAATCAATGCCTTTATTTTGTTGTCATCAACCTCAGTGGGTCTCCCTGACCGAGGAGCATAGTTGAGATCAAAATCACCAGCACGGAATGCTGTGAACCATCATTGGCACTGACGTTCTTGTAGAGCATTGTCACCGTAAACTTTATGCAACTTTTCACAAGCCTGATGTGCATTCTTCCCTTTATGGAAGTAAAATAGTAAAATATGGCAAAAAGGCACAGTTTGGTCTTCCATCTTCAACTTGTAAAATCTCCAAAACTCAACCAAATCGCTCAATTTTTGTTTTAGAATGAAGCTAGAACTGTCAGCTGTCAAATGACATAGCAATAACATAGATGCAAATGACTCTAATACTTCCAAAAATGAACTAGTGCCATCTGTCGCAAACATTCATCATGACTTTTCTGACAACCCAATATATCACAAAAATGCAGTATTATATACTTTTCTCAATTATGGTATATAACTTCATTTACAGCCTTAAAATTTTGTGTAAACTACTTCTGCTTGGAGAGCAGATTTACTGGAAAAAGATGATACTTATTTAGAATCATAATATTTATATCTTTCTCAGAGTTCTCACACCATAACTTAAGAGAATAGCCATTCTGGGAATTATTTTCTCATTATTCCAAACCTATCAAGAGGAAAAACAGAAATAAATACACAACAAAACGCCTTAATTATAAATCTACACTATTCACAGCTGGCTAGCTCTTCTAATATAAACTTAACCTAATCCACTAAGCAAGGATTATAAAATAAGAGATTTGTTTAAGCATGATTTGGAAAAGCCTTACTGGTAAAAAATGTGAACTCAAGTAAAAAGAGCTGAATCTCAGAGAAGTTTATTAGCTAGCAATATTCTCACTTAGCTTTCAAAATTTCACCAGTATGTCTCAAAGCAGGAGCCATGTTTACTAGTAGAGAAAAAACCCAACAACAAAACAATCGACTACTATTCCTCCCAGCAGAACATAAAAGCACAAAGGTAGCATTATGTTACTGCCAAAGTCAAAAGGGCAAAAAAAAAAGTCAGAAGAGGGAAGATGAATAAAAATAAAAGAGCAAACTAAGGAGAAAACTATATTTGAAAGGAGATGCAATGAAAGAATATCTTGAGATCAAAACTTTTTTCCCTATCTTTATTTTTAAACTAATAAATGTAAAATTCCCTGTGGGTCACTTATTAAAAGAATAAAATCTTATTTATAAATAACATACTATACTTTTGCTCCATAGTACCCTACATCCAACAATAAGTTTACCCAATACTTCAAAATAATGCACTGATACAACATTTAAATAACATTCTTTAAGAGAATAATTTTATGTGAAATTTTAATGATAATTCAGATCTATTATATATTATGAACTGCTTTTAAAAGCACAGCACACACAGTGTTTAATAAGCTACCAGTTATAACCTGGCTCTACTTTCTGAATTATTTTCACTATTTCCCTCCTAAGTAAGAAAGCTGGCAAGAATGTTGTTTACTAGGGTGGGAGGAACCGTTGAATTTATTCCTTCATTAAATATTTCCTAAGTACTTACTAAGTGCCAAGCCCTGTTTCCTTTCACCTTATCAGAATCATGGTTTCAAGCTAGACTCCAAGTTAGCCGATAACATAAAAAACACTTTTCTTCAGGGTGACAATCACATCAAGAATTTCTACTAAAATCTACTAGACCATGTCATCATGTAGTCAGTACTCATTCACTTTCAACCAGCGAAAGTCAAAGCCACTGCCACTTTAGAAATCTACTTGCTCTCCGAAAAGAGTCACTACTAGGCCAACCAAGAAGTTGACCCAGACGATTTTTAATATGTGCTCATCATTTCTTGTCTTTTAAACAGAAGAATTACTGAATTAGATTTAAAGAGAAACCTGAATAATGCCCAAACTTAAGAGAAAATATTATTCACTGTATTAGGTTTCATGTCATAACTAAATCACCCTCTGGTCTCAGATTTAACTAGCTGAAAAAATTATGTGGGGTTCTTCTAAGCTTTCTTGAGCTATTTTGAAAAGACAGAAAAGGTCATGATAAATTGAGCATTTTAATGTTAAGTGTGCTTTACCATCTATGTATATGGTGAAAAGTGTTTTTATAGCTACAGCAGATATAGCTTTATAAATAGGAATGGGGGGAATCTTCACACAGAGCAGCCTCAGACAGCTTCTTAAAGCGGTAATTTCACTGATCTTGCTACTGTCTCTAAGCAACTAAAGCCCTATGCTAAAAAAAACAAAACCCCAAAAAAAACAAAACCCCAAATGGCTGAGGATGACTCTGCAAAGACACAAAGGCATGGGTTTTAGTAAATACATAAATTCTTTCCCCTTATACCCAACCTGTGCCAAACTCCAGACCCACTAATGTTTCTTCTAGAATCACAGTTTAAACAGGCTAAGTGAATTTGCATTAACCTCCCTTGGAATGAATAAATCATTCCTGAAACTCCATATGCAATTCACAAACACAGTGGAAGCCATAAAAGAACAAAGACCTAATTTCCTCAGCATGTAGGAGATGACTGTGGACATATGAACCCAGAAGAATTATTTGCAGAACTAGTGTTAGCAAATCTAATAATTTGATCTGAATGAGGATACAATACACTCATATATTATAAGTAGCATTTTACATAAAATAAACAGATCAGTCTGTCCTAGGAAAACCTGCCACAAACACATTATATCTCTCCCCCCTCCCACCCCGGTATATTGAGAAATAATTTACATATATTACTGTTTAAGGCATACAGCATGATGGTTTGATTTAGGTTCAGCTAACATCCTTCTTCTCGTTTAAATATAATAAAAGAAAAAAAGAAAAAAAATTCTCTTTTGATGAGAATTCTAGGATTTACTCTCTTAACTCTTCTGTGTATCATACAGCAGTTGTACGTTA